TCAAGGTGGATTGGAGTAATTTAAATTTAATAAATGCATTGGAGGCAAGAATCTTCTGTCTCTCTCCCCGGTAAATCTAGGTCCCAAAGCTATTCTAAGAGCCCTGAGCCCAAGAGGACCCTGCCAGTTGGGCCCAGGGGGTGAGAACAGCTCCCCTGTGCTCCCCCAGCTGCCCTGCAGCAGGCTGGCAGAGGCTGCAGCGTTCTGGAGGGTTTGCCTCTTCAGGGATACTTATGTAAATAATGTTATTTTTAACAGAGGAGATAAAGGCAGAAAACACCACAGGAAATTGGCTGACAGCAAAGAGTGGAAGGAAGAAGAGGTGTCCCTATACTAAACACCAGACGCTGGAATTGGAGAAAGAATTTCTGTTCAATATGTATTTGACGCGAGAGCGCCGCCTGGAGATTAGCAAGACCATTAACCTTACAGACAGACAAGTCAAAATCTGGTTTCAAAATCGCAGAATGAAACTCAAGAAAATGAACCGAGAGAATCGGATCCGGGAACTGACCTCCAATTTTAATTTCACCTGAGCGCTTGGCTGGCCTCCCCTCCTCCGCCCTTCTCCCCCACTCCTTCTTTTCCCCCGCCCCTCCTCCCTTTGTGCCTGGTGGTATATATTTTTTTTCCTCCCAGAGTATAAATGCAACGAGCCTTCAGAAAAGGCAAAGACCTCAGACTCTCCTTCCAAGGGACCAATGGTTCGTGCTGTGAAGATGTGCCCACCAAAGCATGAGAAATGGGGTGCCGAGGCTCGGGCTGTGGTGTGCCCGCATAGACAAGGGCGGGAGTGTGGCTGGTGTGTGTGGCAGCTCCTCACTCACCCATGCACTCAGCACAGCATCCTGTTCTCTGTTCGAAGCTAAGGTCTAACCCACCCGATTAGAAGGGGGGAAAAAAAGGACAAAATCAACCAGAGTAGGTCTGTAATCTGGCAGAGAGCACAGTCAGAATCACTCCTTCCTTTCTGCATTTCCTCCCTAGCATAATAGACGTTTTGGAAAGTTCGGCTAGTGTTTGTGTGTTTGTTGTAGCGCCCAGCGCCTCCACCAAACCTTCTCTGTGTCTTTACCTCCCAGTCGCTCTGAGAATCTGCTTGAAGTCTCGTATTTGTACTGCTTTCTGCATTTCCCCCATCCTCCTTGCACCCCTGCACCCCCCATTCACTGATATCTGAAAAATTCCATCCAGAGGAACAGAAAAATTAAAAATTAAAAATAGATCATAGTGAAGTAAAGACAGAATGCCCCTCCCAGTCTCACCCTGTCCCTGTCTGGCAGTTGTGTTATTTAAAGATATTCTGTATGTTGTATCTTTTGCATGTAGCTTCCTTGATGAAGAAAAAAAAATCCTAATAAATTTCCAGAATCATAATCTTCAAATGGGTGGTTTTTGTTTTTAGCGTTTTTTAAGCAACACCCCCCTCCCTGAAGAGACTGAGTGTGTGGATGTGTGTGTGTGTGTGTGTGTTTCGTGTTTGACTCATCTCCTGGAGTCTTTCTAGAATGTCTCTTGGCGGGTTTAATGTAAGTGAGAGACCATAACGTTGATTTAAATATTATCCAGGTGACCACAATAAGTCAAGGTCATAAAACAGTAATGTCAGGACGGTCTGGGTGCGCGCGAGAGGTGGATTTTATGATCTGCAAATATAATGTGGTGCCGCAGTAAAAGATGCATTTAAAGGTGACTGGAGGAGGGAAAGAGGCAGAGAGCAAACTGCAATCTTGAGGAGCAGACGGATCTGATTGCCTGGGGTGCTGGGCCAGGCGCACCCCGCCACTGCTGGGGGGAACCCCAAGAGCTCCCCACCTATCCAAAGCGAGGAATAAACTTAACCGCCCGAGGGGGACACGAGAAGCTCAGACACCGCCCCCCCCTCGACAGCAGCAGCTGAAGCCCAGGCAGCGGCAGGAGGAGGAGGAGGCAGCGACAAGGTAAGAGAAGCGGTTTCTTGTTCTTCTCTCGGCGGCAGAGGGGGACTCGCGGCGTCCCCAGGTGCCCAGTGCACAGCGGGCAGAGCAGGGGTGAGGGCGTTGTGGGCACCCGAGCTCTCTGAGGGCTCGGGCTTGCTTGTGGACGCTGGCAGCGGAGGGCAGTGGCCGTGAGCTCCCTCTCCTCCCCTTCCCTGCCCGTCGCTGTGGGGTTCGGTGGTTAAATGGGTAAATTGGCAGGTTTTGGCTTCTTTCTTTACACCGGCACTGAGGGTCGCTTCGAGGTTGACACATGGGTTTAGGTGTCGCTCAGTCTGGTTGTCTGTTGGGGGAGCATAGGGAAGGTAGGTTAGAAAGGGTTGGGGCTTGAAGCTTAGGTTTTTCTGCTTTCTGCTGGTTTGGATGTGAGCCTTATCCAGGCTCTCAGTCTCATTCTCCGTAACTGTGGGGCTTTGCCAAGCAAGTGGCCTGATTGGAAGAGGCTCTGGAGCATAGGCTCTGTGGTTTGGCTGCACATAAATGCAAGGAAGCCAGAGTTGAGCTCAGAGGGAGAGGATCAGAGGGAACCTAGGAGGAGAGTGCAGAAGAGCCAGATGGATCGCACAGGGGACACAGCTCGCGTGGAAGGACGCCCCGGCTTCCCCCGGGGCCAGGGCCGGAGGCAGGGAAACAGGTCCACTGCGGTGCTGGGGGTGGGGCGGGGGTGGGGCCGGGGTTTGGCGGCCGGAGGTCCCATCTCACCAGAGTTTCCCTGGACAATCTGCTTCTACCAGAAGCTCATGAGGCAGTCAGATCCCCTGGCCATCCAGCCACCCAAAGTCTACTCTCTAGTCCTCAGGGAGCTTATAGGGGCGGAAAGGGGGACGGGGCTGAATTTCTTCCTTCCCCAACCCCCTTCCCTTCTCCTCTCCATAGATGAAAAGCTGAATCTCCCGCCCTGCTTGTTCAGCTGATCTGTGGCTTAGGTAGTTTCATGTTGTTGGGATTGAGTTTTGAACTCGGCAACAAGAAACTGCCTGAGTTACATCAGTCGGTTTTCGTCGAGGGCCCCAACCCACCTATCCCGCTCCATCCCTCCCTAGCGGGACTGCCCCAGGGCCCCTTCCAGGTAGGACACACTGGATTCAGACTGAGTAGGGATGGCTGTGAGTGGGGCAAGACAAGCCTGAAAACCTCACTTTCTACTGTCCACTCCTCAGCCTGTCCCAGTCTCTGTGGCTCAGAGAGAGGAGTTTCTCCTGCAGCTATTGTTTCCTGGACTCAGCTGATGGAGACAGACAAAGAAGGTCTAGCCAATTCCAAGGAAATTAAGGAATTTGAGTAAGAGGGGGCCTGGCGGGCCAGCCAGAGTAGGGCAGGGTCATTAGGAAAGAGAAGAGCACAGAAAGAGAGGGGAGTCTCTGGAAGGGTTATTTCTCTTACCTGCAACCTCCCAGGAATAAACATGCCTCCAGACAGCTGGAGCTGAAGCTTCCCCTTGGAAAAGTGGGGTGCTTGAGGGTCCCAAGAGTTGGGGACCTCTAAGCGCTAGCTCAGCCACCTTCCCTCTCCCTCTATAGCTCCATCCCCAGGAGAAGGACATATTTAGGGTGTTAGCAGGTTAGAGGAAAGCATCAAGTCCAAGTAGAAACACACACACACACACACACACTCAAATGGGAAACATCAGGGCAAGAACCTAGCTCTGGTCTCTGTTTGGCTGTCTGTGGCCCATAGGCCTTGGTCTGCTGTGTCTGTGGCTGCCTGGCAGCTGCTTGTCTTCGCATTATGTGGAAATGTCTGAGTGTACGCAGGCTGCCAGCGCCCACCATTACCATATTGTTGGGAAGGTTGTTGGCTGATACCAGGGGGAGGGGGAGGGTAAGGGAGTGAGAGGGAATCTGATCAATGCAAAACTTTGCAAAGATTCTTCCCCTCCTTTCCCCCACCCCCACTCCCTGCCCTTGGTTCCTCCATTCTGGACCTTGTTGCTAGAAAGAAGCTCTCAAAAGAGGTTTCCTCTGCCTGCAGAGAACGTGGCGGCAGGAAGCATCAGGAAGGTGGGGAGATACATCCCTGTTCTCAGAGAGACTGGAAGCAGAAAGCCAAAAAGAGGACAGGTTCTCTGTGCTCTTATTCTAGAATCAATATGATTATTAATAAAACATTCTAAACTTTCAGACAGGGAAATAAAGCCATGTCCCTGTAACAAAATATATACGTGGAGTCCCATATTCTTGCAGTTATCTGCTGGGGGATACCGTAACCTTGTATTAGTGTGAGTCTCTGTTTCCACATCTCTGTCTCCTCCAGGCTCTCTCAGATCCTCCGTATATATTTACTTGCATGCTCATTTACTTTTTTCTCTCTCCTTACAAAGAGATTTCTTATGTGCTTGCTCATTTATTTTTTTCTCTCTCTTGCACAAAGAGATTTCTTTTTTGCCCAGAGGAGGCTAGAGGAGAAAATGAGAATGGAACTTCTCTTCTCCCAACCGAATTTGTCAGTTTGTCTTTCTGTCTGTCCCTTAGCCATTTGGGGGAGGGGGCGGTCTCTTCCCTTGGACAGAAGCGCTCAAATCTCTCTATGGCTCTTCAGGAAATAAGGAGGTTTCAGAAAGGGAAGCCAGCTGGTGCAAGGCAGGCAGGGGGCACCCCTGGTTTGGGAGCCCCAAGCAGTCTCTGAATTTTCAGGCTGTCAAAAGCACAAGGCCAGTGGGAATGGAGGGAGCCCCAAGTAGGGGCGGGGTGCTCAGGAGCGCCTGTCTTGGAGACGGGGTCCCTGATGGGCCGAAATTCACCAATGAAGGACTTCTGGGCTTTGGGTCTCTCTGCCTCCATTCCTGTTTCAGAGCCGGAGAGCTCATGGGGGGTTGGTCATAGAGACACGGGTCCGGGTGTTCCCCCCCCCTCAAAAAGAATCCCGGTGAATTGAGTGAGTTCTCATAGGGCCAAGGTGAGGGCCAGTCTGGTGGCCAGCGTCAGCCCTGGGGCCCTGGGGCCCTGGGGCCATGGATCATGGCTAAGGCGATGGTGATTATTTATTCGCTTCGCTGGAAGGGAGTCTTCAGAAGAAACAGCGTGAAGAGGAGGGAAAAAATTATCTCTCTCGTCTGCGGATATTAAGATGGATTTTTATTTCTTAAAGGACCCTCCCCGCAGAGAGCGCATAAGCGTAAACTTAATATATGCTCTGCAGCCCAACTCCAGAAATCGCAATAAAAGTTAAAACCTCCCCTACTGGTTTTTTTTAATTATGATATGAGAAAGAGGAGCAGGATTTATAGAGCTGAACTCTCCGCATGTAAGTGTTTCAGACTTGTGGGAGAAGGAGGAAAAGGCAAGAGCTCACCAAGGAGAGCCCTGGTCTCTGAGATATCTCGCCGGCTGCGGGGGCTCTGGCTCAGCCCAGCCGATGCTGTGTGACTTCCCTGGGACCTCGGCTCCTCAGCACCCTCCGCTGAGGCCCACGGCTTGGCCTCGAGGCGGGGATGCAGCCCTTTTCGGAAACAGGTGAAGGGCAGCGGCAGCTGGGACTGGGGGCAGCGGACGGGGCTTTGTGTGGGTCTCGAGCAGGACCGCAGCCCGAGTGCGCCCCGGTGGGCGCCTCGGCGGGCAGGGCTGTCCGGCCCGGCGCGAAAGCACAGACAAGGTGGATCGAGCGTGGACTTTGGTCGCGGACGGAGCGGAGCGGGCTCCTGGGCGGAGGCCCGCGCGAGGCGGACAACCGGATGTGGGCAGGACCCTGAGGTCTGGGTGGCGTTTGGGCTGCCGCGGGTCGGCGGCCGAGAGTGTGCAGCGCGCGGGGCGTGGGGCGCGGCGGTCCGAGTGGGCGAGGCGGCAGGCCCCGCACACCTCTGCGGGGGCAGGGCCGTGGCCGGGACGTGGGAACCCGAGGCCGGCCCAGGCTCGGAGCATGAAAAATAAATGCAGTTAAGGGTCTTTCTTTCCTTTGCACATAAGAGGCCTTTTCTTTTTTCACTCTTTCGGAGATACCTGGATCTGGTCCAGAACAGGTTGCCCGCGGGAGGGCCCCGTGAGCGGCAGCGCGCGAGGGAGGGAAAGAGGGAGGGAGGACGAGACGGAGGGAGGGAGGGAAGGAGGGCGGGCAGCAGCGGCGGCGGCGGCCGGGGCTTCCCTCCCCGGGCGGGAGGCGGCTGCCCTGCATCTGTGGCCGTGGGGAGCGGAGCAGCAGGTAATGAAGGCGCTTCCCGAGGCGGGATTGGACCAAGCCCGAGAGACCGAGCCTTCTAGGTTTCTGCCCAGCGCCCTGGAGGGGAGAGAAGGTAGGGAGATCGGCGCCCGCCGGCCTGGCAGAGCGGCCTCGGGGAACGTTGAACCTGTATTTGATTTTAGGCTCACACTCATGTTGTGAGTCAGTCTGCCTCCGGAGATGCGGTTTGCCTGTCTGTCTGTCTGTCTGTCTCCCTGTCTGAGACGTCCCAAACCCTTGGGTCTCCTTCCAAAGGCTGAAAAAAAAAGGGGGGGGGGGGAATTCGTCGGAATGTGCACTTTCATTCATTGGCTTCTCTGTAACTCAGCGGGGCTGACTGCTGCGCCCCCAAGTTGGAAGGGAGCTTGACTCCAGCCTCCTGGGAGCCAGATCCTCTGGTTCCCTCCGCCACGGGCTGAGATCCTGCTCCAGGTTCGCGGGTTGCCCAGAGGTTGGAGGCCAGACAGCTCCCAGTCGCGCAGGGAGGGCGGGGGAGAGACTAGCGCTCTGGCCCCTTAATTGTACCGGTATTGTCTCTCCTTTCGCCACCTCCGCTTCCTCAGTCTGGGCTCCAAAGTCACTGCAAATTTCCTTGCGACACACACACATCACATACAGATCAGGTAACAGGGCTCCCAGGGCTCGGGGAGCTCCGGGCAAAAAGCACCCCTGGCTCTGGGACCCTCCCCCACTGCAGCCACTCCCCAAGCTTGGAAACTAGACCGGTTGGGGGAGCCGGAAATAGCCCCGTTTGCTGCGGGGCGGCCGGGCAGGGGGTCGGCGGGATTGCAGGCCGTGGCGTTGAGAGGGCCACGTTCACAGGCCCGAGGGATTTCACTCCTGTTGGGCCGAGGGCCTGACTCCTGGCGTGTAGGGATCCCGGATACCCACCTGGGGTGGGGGCAGGACGCGGGTCTCCGCGCGCGCGGCAGGCCAGGAGAATTCAGTTTCTGCTTCCAGCGCAGGCCTTAGCAAGGAGGAGTTGTGTGTGGGTGTGTTTTTCCCAACAAAGAGGGATCAGGCGAGAGAAGGGGGGAAAGTAGAGGGGAACCGGGGAGGGGGCGGGGAGGGGGAGAGGGCAGTGAAGAGGTGAAATGAGCCCATTTCAGGGTGGAGAAGGAAAATGAAAGCAAATGGAGCACAGCCTCCTCCGCGCGCGCGGGCGGGCGGGTGCTGACGAACCCGGAGCGGGCTCCCAGCCTGCGGCGGCTGGGGTAGCCCACTGGGGGCACTGGGGAAAGCCTGTTTTAAATTTAATCCGAACTTGACGGTGTGGATTGAACCGGAGGGAATTTAAATCACTAAAAAGGAGGTGCAGGGCAAGGGGAGGGATGACTCTAACCTGTCTTGCCTTTCTGTCTGTCCTTCCCACTGTAGTGCTAGCTTGGTTGTGGTCGCAGCTGCCCAGGTTTGAAGTAATGGAGCGAGGCTGCTCCTCCCCCTTTTGGGGCTCTCCTGTACCCAGTGAAATCTTGGGGGTTGGAGGGGAATTCTAAGAACCGCGGTAAATGCTGAGCAGCTAGCTGAAATTGGGGTTACCCCCTCCCCAACACAGACTCCCAGTAGCCTCCAATCTCTTGGGTTTTCCCCATTTGCGCTGAGGAAAATGGGAGTGGTGGGGGTGAAAGGGAGCCTTGGAATCTGGCAGGTGATTCAGCAGGAGTAACCGAACCTGGGAAGACAAGCCCCTCCTTCTCGGTGCCTCCACAACCTGTGTCCCTATACCTACAGGCTTGGCTCTGGGGGGAGCCTGAGGGTCTGATTCAGAGCCCTGACCTGCCATCCCACCTCCAAATGCAGAGAATGGGGGGGTATAAGCCACATGCAGCTGTGGAACAACAGGGACCTGGGCCTGGTGAACTCAGGAGCTCCCAGCCTCTCCAGCCCCCCTCCCCGACGATGCCTGTCTCAGCAAGGCCTAGGCAAAATCGGGCATCGGTGGGGAGGGGTGTGTGGGCGAGGCCTGCTTCCTGACCCACAGCTCTGCCTATGCCTGAGTGGGGAGGGTATGGGTTCACGCTCTAAAACGAAGGTGACAATCTCTCCTCGGTTTCATAGGGAATTTGACAGCAGCAGGGAGTGTGGGCCGGTGATCCTGGCTGTTCCGCTGCTGCTGCCTCTGCCGGTGGGCAGGCAGGGTGGGCAGGCTGCTCAAGAGTTGAAAAGAAGGCAGTGGCCAAAGAGAGTAGGAGAGAAATGGGCATCTGTTTGCAACTACTCTGTCTGAGGAACTCTCCCAAATAGTAGAGGCTCATAGAAGAGGGTCTTTAGGGGCGTCTTTCTTCTAGGGAACCTGAGGTTGGGGCAGATGGGCCCTGTTGCCTAGTGAAGACGCAAAGAGAGGCAGGGCGTGAAACCTTCTTCTCCTTCGTCATGTCTTCTGTGCTCCTTGACTAGAGCATGGCTCAGCCCCAGCTGCCCGGGCAGCTGCCTGTGCTGAAATGGGGTTCTGTATCCAGGGGCCTAGTGCACCCACAGGAACAGGTCGCTGGGAAGGGCAGGAGAGGAGGCCTCTTCCTCCTTTGTGTCTGGACAGAAGTGGCCGCTGCGCCTGGAGCCTGTCCCCAGCAAAGGCCCGGCGAGCAAGCGGGCTGCACAATGCCACGGCTGCTCCGCCAGCTCTCTCTCTGCCCCATCCTGCCTGCCTGTCACTGCCCTCCCTCTGTCTCACTCTCTGGATGCCTTCCTTTCCCTGTTCTCCTATCTCATTCCATCTTGCCTCCCCTCTTTTCTTGAATTCTCCTCTCCTTTTTATCCTAATCCTCCGTTTTCTTCTTTCCTTGTCTCCTTCCTTCCTTCCACTCTGTGGGCCTGGCGCCCTATGTTTCAGTTGTTCTGTCTCAGGCTGTCTTGGGCTCAGTCTCTTTCAGACTCTGTGCCCTGAAGTCCTCTTGGTCACAGTCTGGCCTGGGCCCGCTAAACGGGGACGCTACATATCTGCCAGCAGCCTCCCAGGAGCTGGGAAGGGTCCCCAGCCGCCAGGGCTGGGGGAGGTGCTGCCGGCGTTAGGGATTTTGAGAAAGCCTCGGCAGGGGGAACCTCCAGTCTTTTCCTTGAACTAGTGAGAGAGAATTTTTGATTGACAGCTAACCCAGCTCCATCAAGGCCAAAGAGATATTCTGTTTCTTGGGTAATTTGGATTTTCCAAACCAGTCCAGTCTGGGGGAGGGGAAGATAATCAGAGCCGAGGTTGAGGAGGCTGAGACCCTGTGTCTGTTCTCCCCAGCCAGACACTTCTTACACACTGCTCCCCCCTCCCCCGTGGTGAGATCCCAGCCCCGCTTGACCGAAAAGGAAAGAATTGCACAGGGTGAGGAACAGGGACTGGGGTGGGGGCCTAGAAAACTGGGGTCAGTGCTTTGGACTTCAGATTTTCTTCCACCCCCTCAACTTTCCTCCCCCCAACACACATACTACACTCTCTGGGACACTCTCTCTAGTCCTCTTCTGCCCTAGGTACACCCTGATTCACCCAGGGGCAGGAGAAAACCAGCATGGGCCCCCACCCCAGGCATCTGGCCCCCTCCTGGGGACAGGAGTGGGAAGGAAGGGCAGGCGTCTCCGGTCTGGGAAGCTTCGTCCTTCCCTGCTGCCTCGGAGCCTTCCTCTCAACCTCAGCTCCTGCCTATTTCTTCTCGCACAAACTGGGGTTCTTCCCTTCTGACCCTGAAATTGCACCCCTCTTTCAAACTCACTCTGCTCTGCCACACTTAGGCTGCATCTTGCCTCTAGGGATATCACCTGCTCTTCTCCCCCACCAGCCAACATTTCTGCCCCCTCTTGTGCACCCACACCGAGAATTTCCTGCTTGCCCAAAGCCCACCTTTACTAAAACTACCATGGACAGTCTGATGGAAAGCAGGGGGCTGGGTACCAAACCCCAAATTCAGACAGGAGGGTAGCAAGCGACTTGCGGGGGGAGGAATCCCAGTTGTCAGATCTTGCCTGCAATCACACTGCTCCTCCAGAATTCCTGTGTCCGACCCAAAGAAACTGCTTTCTCCCATCTCTGTTGCTTTTTTCCCAGTCCAAAACAGCCTACAATTTTATTTAATGAAAGACACATTTATGAACAATCAAATGATCCTCATAAAATTTTTATTGAAGGACGTAAAAGCAAGCTACTTGCCCACAACTGAGGTCGCTTTCTCGCCTTGCCCGCTCTCACCCTGGCACTCAGCAGACAGAACCCAGGGAGTGACTTCTTTTTGGGGGGCGGGTGTTGCAGAGATGGAATTGGGGGCAAAGGAGAGTGAGCAGGAGGATGGGATGAGTTCGCCCCACTTAAGTTGTGCAGATCTCTTCTCCACTTCTTCAAGCTGGCAAAGAAAGATAAATAGATATAGACAATAAATTTAAAATAAAGGAGATTGCATATCTGTACCAAAGCAAAGAGAAGTCTTCTGATGATAAAGGTGTGTGAGTTCCGGAGTCATTACCCCTCCCACCCGCGGAACACCTTCCTTAACCTTTCCCCAGCCCAGATTTGGGGGGCTGAGCTGGCCACTGGCAGAGGGACTCTCCCCTTTCCCTCGTTCCCTCCCTCCACCCCAGCTTTCCTAGTCCCCTCCCACCTTCCCTCCCTCCCTCGCTGCTGCTGGCTCCAGAAAGAAATACATACATACACACTATTTAAAAACGCATTTTTAAAAGCCACGTTCCGAACTGACAATCGCAGATCTCGGCTCGCGCAGACACTGCGGGAGCGTCGGGCCGACAGAGACAGATTACGTCAAGAAATAGTTCCTCCACCTACCTCGGCAGCCTCTGCGGCCCCGCGGGGCTCCGCGCCCAGCTCGGCCCCGGGGGTCCCGCAGCCCCGGCTCCCGGGGCGGCGTTTCCACCCCACGGAGGACCGCGCCTGGGGCCGGGGGCGGGAGGCCACCCGCTGGGCAGTGGACCGGGCGAGGGGCTTCCCGGCTGAGACGAGCTGTCCCGGGCGGGCGGCGGCGCCTGGGGTCCGGAGCCCCGGAGCCCCGGACCCCCAGGAAAACGCAGGTCGCGGGGATCAGCAGAGAAGGGGGTGGGAGAAGGTAAAAAAAAAAAAAAAAAAAAAAAGGCAGGGAAAAAAAAAAAAAGCCCCTGCGCATTGATCCGCGCCGTATTTTTGGGTAAATACGATCACGTGGGGGCCGGAGAGCCAATGAGCTGCGGGGAAAAGGCTGGAAAAATAATTACCTGCCTTGATTGTTCTGTGAGCAGATAAAAAGTACATATACAGTTCATACAATAATCTTATGTATGTAAAACCCCGTTACGATGTCGGCGACGGGGCCCATCAGTAACTATTACGTGGACTCGCTCATCTCGCACGACAATGAAGACCTCCTAGCGTCCAGGTTCCCGGCCACTGGGGCGCACCCCGCCGCCGCCAGACCCAGCGGCTTGGTGCCGGACTGTAGCGATTTTCCGTCCTGTAGCTTCGCGCCCAAGCCGGCCGTGTTCAGCACGTCGTGGGCGCCCGTGCCCTCGCAGTCGTCCGTGGTGTACCACCCGTACGGCCCCCAGCCCCACCTCGGCGCCGACACGCGCTACATGCGGACTTGGCTCGAGCCGCTGTCCGGCGCCGTCTCCTTCCCCAGCTTCCCGGCCGGGGGCCGTCACTACGCCCTCAAGCCGGACGCCTACCCCGGGCGCCGCGCCGACTGCGGCCCGGGCGACGGCCGCAGCTACCCGGACTACATGTACGGCTCGCCCGGGGAGCTGCGCGACCGCGCCCCGCAGACCCTGCCCTCGCCCGAGGCGGACGCCCTCGCCGGCAGCAAGCACAAAGAGGAGAAGGCCGACCTGGACCCCAGTAAGTTGGGAGCAATTTTCCTTTACAACCGGCGCGGGAGGGGAGGGGAAGCCGGGCGGGGGGAGCCAGATTACAACCCCTACGAGCGGCGCAGGGAGCGCGGGAGAGGGGTGAGGGCGAGGGGGCGAGGACTCAATAAAAGCGAATTACCTTGGGGAGCTTTCAGGGGCAGGAAGGTCTGAGAAGAGGGCCCGGGGAGCCAGGTTG